AAGCCATGAAATCTTTAAATGATGTAACTCTGATTCATATCACTCTTTGCTAAAACTTTTCTATGACTTTCTATGGCACTTTGGATGAAATCTAAACTTCTCAACACTCAGGTTCTTTGTATCCACTAGGCATTTCATTCATGGCCTACTGCCTAGGCCCGCAGTGGTCCTCAACCTTCCTAGTGCCGCGACCCTTTAATACAGTTCCTCATGTTATGGTGACCCCCAACCATAAAATTATTTTCGTTGCTACTTCATAACTGTAATTTTGCTACTGTTATGAATCGTAATGTAAATATCTGATATGCTATATGTGTTTTCCGATGGTCGGGACCCACAGGTTGAGAACCGCTGGCCCTAGGGGCTGAGGTCTTGTCAAGGGCCTATAACAAGTATTTGAGACAGGAGGGGGTGGAGGAAGGGAAACGGACTCCAAAAAACTACAAAATCAAAATTAATAAATGTGTGTGACTACATAATATAACAATATGTCAACTAATCCTAAATTTCAAATCAACCTTTCTGTAGTTATTTGTATATTTTACTTTAATGAGGGATGTGGGTACATGGTATTTTGTTGAATATAATGTGGAGGAGGTCCTCCCAAACAGGACTACCGAGGGCCGACAGGGCTTCTAAAATGACCCTTTCAGGCCTTTAAGGTCCTGCATGTCCCCATCTGTGCCTGCGTCTCCATGATCTCCATGATGCCACTCTCCTACTTGCTCGCTAAACTCAGCCAGCCAGCCTTGCAAATTCCTAAGCTGCACCAAAACTTTTCCCACGTTCCCTCCTCCCGCCCCCCAACACTCATCCTGACTGGGTCCTTCCCACCTATTCGTTTTTCACTTAGTAACCTCCTCACGGGGACCCCCCTGACCTGTCCATCTAAAGTAGGCACAGGTGCCCCCCCAACCACCTGTTCTGTCGCCTTCTTTCCTCCATAACATTGCTCTCCATCTGTAGTTTATTTTGTCTGTTTATTCTATCTTCCCATGACACTAATAAGTTCCATGAAGGCAAGAAACTTTGTCTTGTTCTCTGTTGTATCCTTAGGACCTACTCTAGTGACTGGTGCAGAGCAGGCCTCAATGAATAGCCGCTGAATTTGTGAATAATGAAGGAGAACTTCATCTTCGAGGGAGGAGGGCCAAGCCGGAAAGATTTGCCGTGGACTCCATCTTGGGAGGCTGGAGGCACTCTTCTTCCTCCGATTCTAGGCCCCCAGATGGGTTTCAAAAGGAACATTTGGAGGTTTTTCCCCGCAGAAGTTCTGATGAAAGCTCCTGTAACTTACCCTATTGGGGTGGGGCTGAGGGAAATTAAAAAATGGACTCAAAACTAGTTTGAAAGGGAAGGAAGTGGTTGAGGGCAGGTGGATGGCTCCCCAGGTCGGGGCACTTCCTTTGTCCCAGCCCCGCCCCCGGATTCTAACGGCTCCACCCCTTCCTGTCTTCCGCTGGGAGCCAGGGATGGCTTGGGCCCCGGGTTCCGGGTTCCGGCGCCAGGGCCCTCACCCTCGTTAATTATTCAAGATGGAGGAGGACACTAGGGGAGGCGCTCTTATTAATATTCATGAGGGGCGGGGCCTCCCTCCCGCTGGGGCTCCTGGGAGGATTCTAAAGTCTTCTCGAGGCCACTGGGGCTCCTGGGAGGCGCGACCGCAGCGCCGGAGCGGATCCGAGCCGGACCTCTCTTCCCGGCCGGAAAACCTTGAGGAGATTTTTCTTAAAAAACTTTAAGAAATTTGAGGATGGTGGGGCACAACGACTAACTCCCATCTTCCTGTGATTCTTTAGCCGGAAAACGGTCAAATTCTGTGGTAAAAAGAGATTTGTTTCCCCCGTCTTTTCTTGAGGTAGTTTCCCTCTCCTGACGGACTGAAGGGGGTGAGAGATGGAGATGCACCCGGTGCGGCGTGGTCCGTGGGCCGCCGGTTTCCCTCGCGTGGCCTCTGGTTGGCCGCGTTGGAGGTGTTCGGGGCTCGTCCCCGGGGAGACGGGGTGCGTCTCTTCAGAAGGTTTTCTGAGGGTCGAACAAAATCGAAAGCCCGGCGAATCGCTGTGGGACGATTTCCCCTGAAAGGGAGGAAAAAGTTCCGCCAAGAGGGCGCTCCAAGCCTTTGGCAAACAGTCGGGCTGGGCCGAGGGCACGGGAACCGGTGCTGCTCTTGTTTCGGGGTGTGGCTCTCGCTCCCCAGAGGGGCGAGGGGAACCCAGCAACAGGCTGGGGGGACACCTGGTAGCTTTTCAGAAAAGTCTCACCCGCTCAGGTCTGAGTGAGAGGAGTCCCGGTGGTGAGAAGAGGCTTTGGTTTCGGAAGGCCCCGGGCTTGGTGCTTCCACCCGCTGACGCCCCGAATGCCCCTGCGAGGCGCGACATTTATTATCCAACATCGTGAATCTGAGGCGCCCACAGGCCCACCCTCCGCCCTCCTCCCAAGGCCCGCAGAGAAGCGACCCCCGGGCCCGATTTGTCTGGATAATAAGCGAAAATGCTTTAAAATGCCCCCTGGGAGGGAAACCACCACCACCCCCTCGGGGTGAAGGAACTGACTCTTCCACTGGGTGGATCACAGGCAGCCCTTAGATCTGTTCCCTGTGGACGTGCATCTATGGGCATGGGAAGAAATGACCATTTTAATTACAATTTAAAAAAGATTACAAAATAGTATGAGTGATTCCCCCACCCCCCTTTTTTATAAAGAAATATATACGTGAGTTTCTGGGATGACATTAACCAACGCGTTTGTAAGCAGACTGAATCTTCCTAGTGTTGTCTCGCCGCGTGGTGTGCGCGTGTCCCCGATGGCGGCCGGGTCCGGGCGGGTCTCTGCTTTGCACGAGGCCCGGGGCTTCCGGCCGCGCGTGCGGAGGTGTAACTGCTCTGAGGCCGCTCTGTCACCTTCCAGGCCGCATAAGTAACCATGTGGCTTCGGCAGTTTTCTGGCCAAGGGAGGAAATGCACTTTGGCCCGAGAGTTTGCGGCGGGCGAAGGGCCCCGGTTGTCCCTCCGGAGACCAGGCTCCGGCCCGGAGCTGAGGCTGCGCGTCCGTCTGTGAAAGGCCGTGTTTCTCCGAACGGGAGCGAGTGGCCGTGTCACTGTGTGTTTGTGTGTTTTTTAATTATTATTTCGTATCAGTAAATATCGGTGATTCCTAGTTCCCCCTGAGAAATGTTCATTTTGAAATCAAGTTGGTGTAGGCCCTTCCTCAGACCGATCAATGACTGTGATTCACCGAAAGTCAAATTGAGGGGACATGGTTACTCATTGATTGATTTGTCTTGTTAATATCACAAGACCTTAATTTCACTGCTTATTTATAGGTTTACACAGCGTGTCGCTGCGCGTGGCAAGGCCACCTTCTGAGTCTCGTAGAGCGAGTACAACTTTAAAAGCGCTAAACTTTGTCTCTATTTTTTATCTCTTTGTTTTTATTATTTCTAAAAAAAAGATGTCAGTGCCCAGTTTTAAAGAAATAGAAAAAAACATTACTACAAAAATATAAAGCTACATCCATATTTTGACTTTTTCATGTAAAGGTTATAAAAGCAACATAGTAACTGACAGAAATTGAATGTGTTGAATTTGTTATATTGTTTTCTTTTGTGTTAAGTCTTTCTTTTTTAAATGTGTGCATATTAGCTCGGACTGGTTTGGCTCAGTGGGTGGGGCATCGGCCGGGTTCGATTCCGGTCAAGGGCATGTACCTGGGTTGCGGGCACATCCCCAGTGGGGGGTTTGCAGGAGGCAGCTGATCGATGTTTCTAACACTCTGTCCCTCTCCCTTCCTCTCTGTAAAAAAATCAGTAAAATATATTTTAAAATAAAATAAAATAAAAAAATAAAATGTTTGCATATTAGACTAGATTTCATCCAAATACATTCTCGTTTTCTACTAAAACTCTTTAGAATATTTTGCTAAGAGAGAAATATTTTTAAATATTTCCTATCATGCCGTAATGACTGTACTGGTGGGAACTCCATAAATTGGACACCATATTAAAAAGCTTTGTAAATATATAGAGAGGCCACTATTTCCCATCAAAATATCAACCTCTTCATTTAAAAAAAACAACAGTTCTTCATCAGTATAATTTCCTTTCTTCTTTGTCTCTTGTACTTTGTTTTTTCTAACCAGGATAAATTCACAAGATAAGAAAAAGGATGGCATCTAGAGTAAATACCAGTTTCACTTTGATTCCCAACCAGAAATATAGACGTAGTAGTCGTCGATCCAGCCATGTTTCCAACACCCTGGACTCAGATTCTCAGCCCTTATCAGCACTTGGAAATTTTAGAGCCTTGCCATTGGAAATATTCCAAATAATCTTAAGATATTTATCAGGTGAGGGTTGGGGACTATGTTTTTGTTTTTCCCAAGAACTAGTTTGTCATCGTTGGCCATGCTAGAATTAATGGTGTTCACAGTAAGATTATTTTCCCAAGTTTCATCATTGTTAGGTAAGAGATACAATGAGAAAGTACAATACTCAAACTCTCTAAGCATGCTTCTAATTATAATGACATGGTAACTTGACTATTACATCCCAAAATGTTCCTAATTTATTGAGCACTGGATTTAAAACAATTTTAAGATTTTCCTCTTTATTTTCTCTATTATTTAGTATCATTATTAATGAGCAAACTTATCAATTATTACACTGTACTAACAGTGACGTTCTTGTCTTTAAGCCGTTCATATATATGTATCTATTTTTCCTTTGGTAGTGAAGGATGTCAGCATGCTAAGCATGGTGTCCAAAACAGTCAGCCAGCACATTATTAATTATATCTCAACCTCATCAGGAAGCAAAAGACTTTTACTACAGGACTTTCATAACCTTGAGCTGCCTGGCAAGAGACAAGACTCTGCTGTATTGGAACACTACAGATCTCTAGGTAATTTGTGTAATAAGAATTGTAACAAGCAAAGAACTATACTTAATGGGATTTTCTTATACATTTCTGTGAGATTCATGGGAAATGAAATATTTCCTAATATGTGCCGATTTCTATGATGCTTTTACTCTTCAATGTGAGGACTTTCCCTTAACAGCAGTCTCTTACACTTAACTTTAAAGACAAGAGAATGCCCTTTAATGTAAAGTGTCAGCCCTTGTGATTTCATGTGGATACAATGTCACCTATGCTTTTTTTCTAAGTGGCTTATCAGTTTAGGAAATTGATGTATATTGTATTTTATTTCCTGTGGATCTACTGAGTTTATCTTTATACCTCTTTTCCCTTTTAACCATAATCCTAATGAGTTTCATCTTTATACCTCTTTTCCCTTTCAACCATAATCTGGTCCTTAAAATAGAAAAGAAATTTAAACACTTTATTGTGGAAGATCACTTATTCTTTTATTCTTTTATCAGAAACAATGGCTTTTTTTTAGGCATTGTACAGTTTACTAACAAGTCATTATGTTATGATTAAATGAATATTACCAAAGGAAATTTACATAATCTTTTTTCCCTTGATTTGTATTCATTTGTCTTTCACTCCATTTATTGATTTTATTTTTCCTAAGAGTGCTAAAATAAAATTCTATATTTACTTAATTAATGACAACAATTTAATTATGAAATCACTTTATAATTAACCAAAGCATGACAATAAAACCAAATATCAACGTGATCTTAAGATTTAAATAAAGGTATACAGGTGAGTTAATGAATATTATGTTTTAGTAGCCCAAGGATGCCTAGCTTTAAGATAATAAAATAAGACTATATAGATGTGTAAATATATAAAACTGTATTTGACAGGTATATTTAACAAGACTAAATGAAAGGTATATAATTTGATTACAGTGTTATTGGCTTCAGCTTTTATGATTAGGCTTAGTAAAGTCTGTAACAGAATATGCAGTTACTTTTTGCTACTTGTTATTGTAAATATCTTTTTTCAAGCATGATTAGTTGCAGAGAAAGTGGTACTTGGTTAGGTAATGAGCTTATTCTTGGTTTTGATCTGAAAAAGTTTTTTTTTCCCCTGACCAAGGCTCAATTGCTTAAACAAACAAACAAAGCATTAAGACAATTATATGGATAAGTCAGTTAAAAATACAAATGTGTGCCCTAGCTGGTTTGTCTTAGTGGATAGAGTGTCTGCCTGCGGACTGAAGGGTCCTGGGTTTGATTCCAGTCAAGGGCACATGTGTGGGCTGTGGACTGGATCCCCAGTAGAGGACGTGCAGGAGGCAGCTGATCAATGATTCGCTCTTATCATTGATGTTTCTCTCTCTCTCCCCTCTCCCTTCCTCTTTGAAATCAATAAAAGTATATTTTTAAAAAACACAAATGTGTATTGATCTTAATAGCTACATTTTTAAAACAGTTTTAGTCATGTAATGATCGTAACCTTATTTTAATTTTGATGCAGATATCTGGCTTATGACTGATTCTTTAGGTAAATGTTTGATGTACTTACATTTTCTCATGTTGCTATTCCTATCTGATCTGTTCTTATTTTCAGACTTTAATGTAACATTTTCAGATTCCTGCTCTTTGAATATTATAAATTTTAATTTGCTTCTTCATACAAAACAGAGCAGATGGCCAGTGGGGAAAGAACATTACATCTGACTATTTTAGTGGGAAGAAATTAAAGAAGTTGGTCTCCAAAGGATATAGCAGAGCACTTGTGTTTTAAAAAAAAATGTCAGCCTGTATTGGTTTATATGGTGAATTGCAACCCTTAAAAATAGAGGAGTTTTACATTAGAAAAGGCAACCAACATTAATTATAGCTTGCAATTCCCTAGCTATGATATACCATGGGACTGAATGCCAAAACATGAAAGGAAAAGAACTCAGCCTAAAAACCAAACACTGAAAATGTCTTTTTATGTACAAAAATAGGGAGGGTTTATGTTTAAGAGTCAGTTCTGGTCATGTGTTATCCAAACATAGCAACTTCTAAAAATAAATTAGATTCTCATATAGTCTACAGAATTATATGAAGTAGTAATTATATTATGTTAAAAAAAGTAAATGCAGAGAAAATAAAAACTGAATAGAGCCATGATATTCAGGCATATATTTTCCTTCCATATATCTTATTTTAATTTGAGGATATTTGCCCTCATAGGAATGTTAACACTGTATTGCCATTTTAGGAAAACAGACCACTTAAAGTTCGAGGAAACAAATCAGTCACTTCCTGTCACTGTAGTTGAAGTAACAGATCTCTCTGGGAAATTGAAGAGCTTTTTTTCATTTTTAAATATCTGAACACAAAATTCTATACATTCTTAACATGCAAACACCATAAAAGGATATCTTTGAAGGAAGAAATAGATATTTCATCCAAACTGAATATTTTCTGTGAGCAAAAATGACTTCAAACCTCTGAAATTTCAAGGACTTATGACTTTAATTTTTTTTTCCAAAAGGAATACAAAATCTCTTTTCCCATTTTTCCATGTTTTGCAATTCAAAACATTTTCCTTTGTGGACATGAGGCTGATTTCAAGAGATATTGGAATATGTTTTCTATGGAATAAAGACAATATAAAGTTTCCTAGTGTATTTTTTGTCTTGTATCTTTTAAAATCTAAATAATTTTAAACGTTTCCATATCTGTCCTATAGTATCAATTTCATAATATAAGATTTTATATCAGTGCCTCTTAGGTAGACATCAGAGTCACTTGGTATTCAACATATAAATGTTATACCCTTCCTCCCAAAATTCCTCTTTAAAAAAATCTATCAGCTCACAGTTCACTGTGGTATACTATACTTAACTTTCAGGAAACATTATGCAGTGCTTAATAGATATATTTTAATTGATTGCACTTTATAGATATTTTTTAATTGTCACTGTTTTTACATGTGTTTGTTTTACTTTCTCAGGTTTACTGTTTAAAAGATGTACATTGTTGCTACCCACAAAAGAAAGACTAAAGTACATTCACAAGATACTCGCAGAAGTAAGATTATACTTCTGAATTAGTTCGCAATCTTGATTTCCAGTAAGATTGTCTCATACTCATTTAAGTTCTATTCTTAATTAGTAAAACTTCATGAATTAGTACTAAAAAATTAACTGATGATAATCTAATACTTTACCAAGCACTCAAAGATTATAAAACACCAAAATGTAGTATAGTAATCTTTTACTTATTGTAAAAAAATTTTTATATAACTAAATACATCACTTAAGGTTATTAGGTTTATCAGAGTATAGAAGTATTTTTATCCCACATGAGGATGTTTTAAACTGGTGATTTAGATATTTTATTAAAATGAAGTAATTTCTGAATGTTAAAATATACAAAAAACATAGGAAAGTATTTTAATATATAAAATAACCCTTTTATGATAATTTATGACTTGGAAATGTGTATCAATGTATAATAATCTCTATGTAAGAAAATGAGTTTTACTATTCAAACCCAAACATACATATACTGATGGTTCAGTTCTATACTCAGTAGTATGCAAACTATTTCTCATGCACTAGCTTTTTTCATGTCAATATTTGCATTGAATTCAGGTCTATATTATTATAGCAGCTTCCCAGATGACCTTTCTGCCATCCATTTCTTCAGTCCCCAAGACAATGAATCAAGGTTATTCTTCCTAAAGCATCACTTTCATCAAGTTAACTTTCTTGCTTAAAAGTCTTTCAGTGGCTACTCAATTTCAGCAAGATAAGGTCCAAAGTCCATAGTTGGTATTTAAGGTTCTCCCTGACATACAACTGTACTTCCTATTACTTTGAGTCTAGTTAAGTTGATCATATTTTTATTCCCAAATAAAGTTTTTTTATTCCTACCTCTATACAATTTTGCCCTTATTGTTTCCCTCACCAATCTTTTCCATTTGTTATATCTGAATCCTACTTTAGACATTGCTTGTTTCACATCCTTCATAAGCTTTTTTGATCATTCCCAAATTTATCATTTCCTTGTTTTCATAATAACTGATGTACTTTTTTGGTCATTTTGCCATTTATACATATTCTAACCTTAAATCATCAAAGTAACTTCACATGTGTATATCTTATTCTCCTAAATAAATTGTGAGCTCCTTGAAGGCAGCCTTTGCTTTATATTTCTTTCATAATCCCCACCTATATAACAATGCTAATCAATGTTATTTAATGTTATTTACTTAACATTATTTTCAGTTAATACTGAAAAAATGTTTGCATTTCCATTAAATTTGAATGTCAAACGTAAAATCATTGTACAGTTCCACTGAAAAGAAGGAATGAATAGTTGTTCTCTTTACAGGTTCCCTGTTTTAAATTCAATGGCTGTGCAGCTCCTATGCAGTGTTCAGGATTATCATGTTATGGCATGCTTTTACAGGTACTTTATTTTTTATTTTTTTTTAATATATTTTATTGATTTTTTACAGAAAGGAAGGGAGAGGGAATGAGAGTTAAAACATTGATGAGAGAGAGAAACATCGATCAGCTGCCTCCTGCACACTCCCCACTGGGGATGTGCCCGCAACCAAGGTACATGCCCTTGACCGGAATTGAACCTGGGACCCTTGAGTCCGCAGGCAGATGCTCTATCCACTGAGCTATACTGGGTAGGGCGGTACTTTTTTTTTAATGAAAGAAGAAAATGTTTTTGAATTGTTGACAAGTAAAGCATGTAATCCATTGTTCCATGGGAAAATAAAGGTAATAATAATCTAAAAAAAGAACAAAATAGCCCTAGCTGGTTTGGCTCAGTGGATAGAGAGCATCAGCCTGTGGACTGAAGGGTCCTGGGTTTGATTCCAGTCAAGGGATCCTCAGTAGGGGGCGTGCAGGAGGCAGCCGACCAATGATTCTCTCTCATCATTGATGTTTCTCTCTCCCCTCTCTCTTCCTCTCTGAAATCAATAAAAGTATATTTTTAAAAATGTTAAAAAGAACAAAATAAAACTGTAAAAATTTGACGTGTTAGTCTAGTAATGTTTGCCACCTCAATTTTCTTCTTGGGTTTCTCACTGGTAAGAAATGTTTAACATTTACCTGCTCTATACCAATGTTCTCAACATTTCTAGCCACTGTTGTAAAGACTAGAAATAGTGTGAGGTGAGGTGTGTGTGTATGTGTGTGTAATGAGTTTTAAGTCTTGGGCTAGTTATTTGAGATGTGATTTTAGAAATAAACTGTATGAAAAAATTGTAACTAAGGTGATAGATGTAACTAACCCCCATGTGGTAACCATTTTGCAATATGCACATATATAAAATTACTACATTGTATGTCTTTAATTTACATGTCAGTAATATCTCAGTAGAGCTAGGAAAAAAGAAAAAAATCAGTTGTATGATTTTAAGAATATTTTGTCGACACTCAACTGCTGAGCCACACTCCCGGGGCTTAATTAAACTTTTATTATACACAAAGAACATAATAACATAATGTAATGTTATTCAATATTGATAATATATTATATGATTCTAAGCAATTTACATGTACTAACTTTTAAAACCTACAACAACCTTATGAGGTTTACAACAGTCCTACAACAATCTTGCTTATGTCCCAGCCTGATAGCCACCTTCTGATCCCAGGGTAGGCCCTTCTACTAGCCTTCTTTCAAGATAGATTTTTTTCCTTTCTTTCTTTCTTCTTTTAGAGGGCAGGTAATGTAAGCACGTGTATTTATATAAAATAAAAAGGTGTAAAGTGAAAAGTAAGTCTCCCTCCAAGACCTGTCCCTTGTCCACTGAGTGCCCTTCAATAGAATTAACCAATGTTAGCAGTTTCTTGTATGTCCTTCCAGAGATAATAGATTAATTTATACACTACTGAAATCCAGGTCAACTATTTTAAGAAATCTTCAAAATCTAATTACAGTTGACCCTTGAACAACACAGGCATTAGGGGCACCAACCTACACACAGTTGAAAATCTGTGTATAACTTTTGACTCCCCCAAAATGTAAGTTGTCTCTTGGCATTCTAGGGGGATTGGTTCCAGGACTCCACACAGATACCAAAAGCCATGGATGCTCAAGTCCCCTATATAAAATGACATAGATCAATGCATTCAGTCAGCTCTCCATATCTGTGTACTCCCAACCTCACATTGAAAACACTACAGGTATTTGCTGAAAAAAATCTGCATAAAGGACCTGGGCATTATAAGCCTGTGTTGTTCAAGGGTCAACTGTATAGTGATATACCATTTGAATTTCCTTTCCATAGATGTTTAACTATACATTTGGATTTGCTCAAAAATAATTATTAAATTTTGCTCTAATAAAATTTTTTTGCTTGTTCACATCCAAATGTCATAAATGCTCATAATTGTCACATTAAAATGAAATCATTTTGTAAGCAATATCATAATGATAGCTAGAGGGGGTTAAAGGGGTTCTACTGTAGTCTAAAACTAAGCCATAGTATGCTTATGAGTCAGATGTCTAAAGCTGTGTTTGAGGGTTTGGGCCTTTGTTATTTTCCTCATACTGTCAGAGTTCAAGATTCAGTATCATTTAGAAGTTCTCTGAAAACATACTCCCTTTACAATGAAAAAGAAACTGGATTTGGAGCATTCCTATAATTTATGTAAAATATCTTATTAATGTCAATAGTTCCATAGTGGATAAAAATTACAAATCACCTGGATCACGTGCTATGACAGTTATGTGCTCATAAGGCAATAGTGACTTATGTTTTGATTTGAGGCCTAAACATCTGCAATGTTTCATTTATTTTATTATCCTCAGACCTTAACAGCAGGTTGGGATGAACTTGAGTGCCATCGTGTTTTTAACTTTTTATGTGAGCTGACTGATCTCTCCCGCAAAATGCAGACCATTGTCTTCAGCAAACCAGGTAAAGAACCAAAATTCAGAAATAACATACAGAAGTTAAAATAGAAAAAAAGCACAGTTCAAAAGGATATTTAAAAATAAATTGTGGTATCTGTTTATAGTAAAACAACAAAGAAATATAAGAGAATGATAAACACTGAATTGGATAGTGAGGCTCAAGTGGCATGTGAGTAGAGAAAGAGAAGTACTCAGAGGGCTTCAACTGTACTAATAATATTTTATTACTTAAGCTGGATACATGCCATAATATGAATGAACCTTCAAATCATTATGCTAAGTGAAAGGATCTAGTCACAAAAGACCACATACTGTATGACTTCATTCATATGAAATCCCAGAAGAGGAAAATTTATAGAGACAAATAATAAATCATTGGTTGCTTAGGGCTGGGAGTGGTAACTAAAAGAGCAGAATTTCTTTTTTGAGATGCTCAAATATTCTAAAATTCACTTGATGATAGCTGCACATATCTGTGAACATACTAAAAACCATTGAATTGTACACTTTAAATGGGCAAATTGTATGCTATGTAAATCATATCTCGAAGCTTTTTAAAAACAATCCCTTAGCCCTGACTGGTTTGGCTCAGTGGATGGAGTGTCGGCCTGCGGACTGAAGGGTCCCAGGTTCAATTCCGGTCAAGGGCATGTACCTTGGTTGTGGGCACATCCCCAGCAGAGGGTGTGCAGGAGGCAGCTGATTGATGTTTCTCTCTCATCAATGTTTCTAGCTCTCTGTCCCTCTCCCTTCCTTTCTGTAAAAAAATCAATAAAATATATTTAAAAAACAAAAACCAGTCCCTTAATAATCTAAAAATTTTACAGAGGAAAGTGAATTAATGCTTTTAGTATATTAACAATTGTATAATAATAAATTTGACTTATTTATTATGCACATCAACCTTTCTAGGAAAAATGGTTTACAAGCCTTTTGTGTTCATAGGAAATTCCCGAAAACTAGAGTTAAGGATCAGACTGTTCTGTAGGAATGTCCTGTTTGATCATTGGACACATAGAAGTGATTCTGCTTTTTGGTTGACACGTATATTAAAACCATGGCCAATGGTGAATCAGGCAAGATTACTATATATCATCTTTGGACCAATATCTCCTCAAGATGGTGAGCATCTATTTTTTAGCAAGATATGTTATAAAACTGGTTAATTACTTTTACTTTAGGAAGCATATCTTTTTGTACCCGCTCAGTTTCATCATTCCTAATGACTGAAATGTTTCATGATTTCATGAATTTATATACATTAACTCGTGCGTAACTTACGCTTCAAGATGGAAATTGTTCCCTGCAGGCCACTACCAAATATTTTCCTATCATCTCTGGATAGGAAATAGCTGCTTTTCATTTTTAAACATTATCTTAATTCAAGATTATGTTAGCTGCTGGAGGGGACTAAGTGCCAGTAAATCTAAGTAGTGTATTGATATTGATGTTTTACTTAATTTTGGGTGCATGTGATTTTTTAAAATTTTTTTGCCTTTCTAATAAATTTAGATTAATATTAAAATTAGCATGCAGTTCTTTAGTTCACATTGCCTTATATCAGGAGGTAACTAGTTTAAATTGTGTTGAATAGCAGCAAGAAGCCAATCTATAATTAAATTTTGGTGCATAATTCACAAAGAGAATTGGTCATAGGTAAATAATAAAAAATCAACTGGATTACTCTGTTTTGATATAAGTGTTTGGGAGATCCTCAAATATAGCATGTTCTCTTTTTCAGATTTTATTTTATTTCAGTAAAATTACATTAATTGTTTATTCCAATTTTTGTTACCAGAGTAGCATTATCTTTTAACTAAAAGTACTATTCTGCTTAGTGAAACTACCTTTTCTTTACTTCATTTAGCTATTATGGCTGTGCTTCATCACATCAGTCAGAGACATTCAAATTTATACTGTTATCAGAATTGACTTTCATTATGAAAGTAGCACATATAAGTAATGAATTCCATTATGCAATCCAATTTGCTTTTTAAATAATCCATGAAGTCTTTATCACAAAGTCAACTATTCTGTCATAACCTAATCTTTGTTTCAATTATCATTCAGGACAAGTGGTTTGGCAGAAAATGGTAGAAGAACCTACAGATGAATCTAGTCTGAAAGGTCTGGCTGATGCCATTAAATTACTATATGACACAGGCATCAAAGAGTGGACAGCAGATGATGTTATCAGTCTTATAGATGAACTATCAGGTAAAATAACATATTTATCACACAGAGTAACATAATTTATTATTAGAATACAGTTATAAAATTATAATAGTAGCCCTGACCGGTTTGGCTCAGCGGATAGAGCGTCGGCCTGCGGACTCAAGGGTCCCAGGTTCGATTCTGGTTAAGGGCATGTACCTTGGTTGTGGGCACATCCCCGGTGGGGAGTGTGTAGGAGGCAGCTGATTGATGTTTCTCTCTCATCAATGTTTCTAACTCTCTATCCCTCTCCCTTCCTCTCTGTAAAAATCAATAAAATATATATTTTTTAAAATCATAATAGTAATTCTACAGGTAACAAATGACTTGCCTACCATTAAATGCTTTAAAATATTTAAAGAATTAGGCATTGTTTGAAGAGACTGGATATAATCAACTTACTTTTCTTTAATTGTGAATGTTATAGGTATATTTTTATTACCATTATTATTTGAAAGCTTCATAATTTAATTAATCCCATTTTGCAAGTTCTCAAAAACACCTTCCTTGGTTGTATAAGAAGAAACCCTCTCTTAATGGTATGGCAGAGGTGAAACAATTTTTCCCATTTATGCAAAATTCTTTAGATTCTGAAGTTTTCAAGATTTCTTTCCTTTCACAGGATTAGACCACCTTGCTTGTTGATCTATCTGTAGGAAAAATGCTTTGACTGTATTACTAGTACATGTATAAGAGCTGCCATGACATGGCAGTAATCTCTGTCTCCAGTTAAATGCTGTAATTAAAAAACTAAAGCATTTTTTTCTGAGCTTTTCCCTTGGCAATAATCATATTTCCAATGAAGTGATGTAATATTGCATGTAATTAATGATGTTTACTATAGCTATTGTGCAATTTCTCATTAAGTAACTGTTCTTCCTCTAATAAAAGTGGTTCCTCGTGAGTGGCTTCTAGAAAATAATGCACGTCTCCTAATCCTAAGTGGGAACGACATCTGTTTCACTTTCATGGCTAGTAAAGCTGTGAATGGACGGACCGCTGAACTGGCAAGACTGATAGTCTTTTTGGCTTTGGTAAGTAAAAAATAAGTTTTCTCTAACAAGTTGTTTAACATTATAGTTGACCTGCCAGGAAGCTGCCCTGAAGGAACTGAAATATGTACAAAATATTTTGAAAGAATAAGTATATAAGAATATATCTTATAATATATACTTATAAAATTGTAAAATATATGTAATAGCCCTGGCCAGTGTGGCTCAATGGTAGAGCATCGTCCCATGTACCAAAGGGTCTCAGGTTCCATTCCCCCCATCAAGGGCAAGTGCCTGGATTGCAGGTTGATCCCAGGCCCCAGTCGGGGCGAGGGCTAGAGGCAACCGATCGGATCGATGTATCTCTCTCATATATCTCATTCTCATTCATTCTCTCTCTCTCTCTCTCATCTCTCTTCCTCCCTCTTCTCCCTCCCTCCTTTCCACTCTCTCTAAAAAAAAAAAAAAATGGAAAAATATCCTTGGGTGAGGATTAACAAAAAGTAAATAGTAATAAGCTATCATATTTGGAATTACTCTCTGTATTAACTTCTCCCCGCTTTATGTCTAGATTGTCATCATACAGCTCTGAAAGTTATATTCTTTTTTCAAAAATTCTATTAAAAAATAAAGTACTTGCCCTGGCCGATGTGGTTCAGTGGATAGAGCATTGGCTTGCGGACTGAGGGGTCCTGGGTTCAATTCCTGGTCAGGGCACATGCCTGGGTTGTGGCTCGATCCCCGGTGTGTGGCGTGCAGGAGGCAGCCAATCCATGATTCTCTCTCATCATTGATGTCTCTCTCTCTCTCCCTCCCTCTCCCTCTCCCTCTCCCTCTCCCTCTCCCTCTTCCTCTTCCTCTCTCTCTCCCTCTCCCTTCCTCTCTGAAATCAATAAAATTAAATCTTCCTCTCTGAAATCAATAAAATTAAATAAAAATAAATAAAAACTAAAGTACTCTATTTGATTTGCTTCAGAATAATCAATGGGCAGCAGGGAGAGGATGTGGTAGTGAATGGAGGTAAAGGTGAAACAAGATTGGCAAGCTGGAAAGTGGATACATGGGGTTCATTATACTAGTCTCTCTACTTTCTATAGTTAAAATGTTTTTCAAAACAAAACATTTAAAAATATATTTAATATTCATTTAACAAAAATTGAGTTTTTACTATAGACCATACATTATGTGAGATTCTAGGACTATGGAAATTCATAAAACATTTCTCTGACAGAAAGCTGCTTTTAGTGTTTTAAGTGATATTAAGGTATATGTAAATAAATTCAGTGAGATAAGTGCAAAACTATATATGCAGAAAGATACAATCAGAGGTAGCAAAGAGGAGCCGATATGGATGAAAGTAGAGCATAGTGAGGGCTTTCTCAAGCCAAATTTATTTTAAAAAATGAGTAGAAGTTCACAAGGCAGATAGAGAGGGCAAATCACTTATTTGGCTACCATCGCAGATGCCAGCTCAACCAATGCTTCAAAAGCAATGGCGTAATCTCAAGTTGGCTGTTGTGAGGAATAATTGAATATAATTCATTTCCTAGGAAATGGAGACAGGGTCATTACCAACTCAACTGCTTAAAACATGTATGAAACCTCTGTGGCTCTTTTAAAAATGTGAATAAAGCTACTAAATTAACTATAATTTCAATATAAATATTTATTTTAATAATTAAACAGATTCTCTCCAAAAGAGAGAGGAAGAGAAAGAGAATTGCATGGCTATATTCACAGGACTGTAAGTAGCTCAGTAGTATTTCTGAAGGGTAAAATGTAAAGAAGAGGAAGAGGAGGAAGCGTGATTAGACAGAAAGGGAAAGGCTAGGTAATGAAGGGCCTGGTAGACTTTCTGTGGAGCTTGAACACATCCTTTAACAGGGAGCTGCTGAAAAGTTTTAGGAAGGGGAGTGATGTGATCAGTTTCAAGTTTTTAAAAGGTCACTTTGACAGCACCATAGCAAACAGAATGGAGAGGAAGTCACTGGGTGAAGAAGCCTTCTCCAGAAAGCCTTTCCTGATTACCATCTCAACTCTGATCATTAATTTTCCCTAAATTGCCTCAGATTTGTCTTCTCTTTATCTTCATTTACCTAGTGTTCTTAAGCCTTTTTATGTGAGTGGTAAATTATCTCCCAAAACAGATTGCAAGTTCTTTGAAATCCAGGACTATGTCACGTGCTTTTCATAGTGCTTTGTACCATTCCTTATACATAAGTAGGCAATACATCTTTCCTGTCAGATTAATATTATTTAGTGACACTACTATAAAGTTTATTTCCATGCTGTGTATTATTTGGCTATGTGTTAATATGGCCATTTAGAATGTTATTAAGTAAACCTTTTTCTTTTCAGTTTTAACTATTAACATGTAGTCTTTTCTTTAAATACTTATCTTTTAAACAATAGAGAGATAAATAGTTCCTATAACTTTCAAGATGGAAAGTTGATAATACTATAGAGTTCTCTTGCCTATTGAAATTTCTTGTTTGTCTGTCACCCTGATTAGACTCCTTCAAAATAGAAGCCCTGTCTTTATGACTTATCATAGTATTTCCACCTCTTAGCATGTGCTCAATCAATATCTATTGCATGAGTGAATGGGCAGAAGTCTTATTTTCCATAAAAATAATAATTGTTTTCAATATTAGTTCTTACATTAATAATATTCTATGATAAGATACAGAGAACAGACTGGCAGTTGGTCTGTGTAAAAATGATTGAAGGGATTAAGAAGTACAAATTGGTAGTTACAGAATAGTCACAGATATGTAGACTACAACATAGAGCATATAGTCAATAATATAACTATGTATGGGACAGTGAGTACATGATTTTCTAACTACTATGATGTACATATGAAACTAATACCGAATAATATTAAATGTAAACTGTAATTGAAAAGTAAATTGCCCTAGCCAGTTTGGCTCAGTGGATAGACGTTGGCCTGTGGACCAAAGGGTCCTGGGTTTGATTCTGGTCAAGGCCACGTACCTTTGTTGCAGGCTCCTCCCTGGCCCAGGCCCTGATCAGGCGTGCAGGAGGCAACTAATTAATGTGTTCCTCTCACATCGATGTTTCTCCCTGCCTTTCTCTCTCTCTTCCAGTCTCCCTAAAAATCAATGGAAAAATACCCTTGGATGAGGACTAACAAAAAATATATATATATTAATTTTTAAATATATTCTATGATAATCTTGAACCAGAGTTTTCATTTGAAAGCAAAGGAATGTTAGATATAGAAACATTTCTCACTTATAGACTCAATATAATGCCATGTGTAATAAATTATATAAAATCATAAACCATCATAGTTAATCCAATTTTCAAATTGTATAGCTTTATTTTTTTTAGATTGTTTTTTTTAAATATATTTTATTGATTTTTTACAGAGAGGAAGGGAGAGGGATAGAGAGTTAGAAACATCGATGAGAGAGAAACATCGATCAGCTGCCTCCTGCACACCCCCCCACTGGGGATGTGCCTGCAACCAAGGTACATGCCCTTGACCGGAATCAAACCTGGGACCTTCCAGTTCGCAGGCCAACGCTCTCTCCACTGAGCCAAACCGGTTAGGGCGTGTATAGCTTTCTTTAAATGAAGATATTCCATAATGCTTTGTATGTCTAAATCAGGTGTGCGAGAAAGAACTATACTGCATGGACTGGGCAGTTAAAATGATGCAAAAAGTCTGTAAAGTCTTTAGTACCTCAGTTGAAAAAAACAACTTCCTGCAGAATGTGGCAAATGCATTTGCATGTATTATAATGGAAATGCTGCAGTCAATTATGTCTGGTGAGTATGCATGTAGATGGTGCACAGGTGTGAATAAAATGCATTTTAGTCTCCACGTGAGACAGGGATAATTCTGTATAGACTTTTATTTCTAAACCAGTGGTTCTCAACCTTCTGGCCATTTAAATACAGTTCCTCATGTTGTGACCCAACCATAAAATTATTTTCGTTGCTACTTCATAACTGTAATATTGCTACTGTTATGAATCGTAATGTAAATATCTGATATGCAGGATGGTCTTAGGCGACCCCTGTGAAAGGGTCGTTTGACCACCAAAGGGGTCGCGACCCACAGGTTGAGAACCGCTGTTCTAAACCAAGAATAGAAGGAGTAGATAATTTTGTTTGTTTTTCCATGAGATATATTTAGTTTCTGGTTTTGTCACTTTTTAAATCTGATATTAGTTTTAATGGAAAACAAAGTCAAAGAGTCTGCTCTGAAAGGATCCAATTTCTATTCTGCACAACAAAAAATTTTAACTTGCTCACTAATCAACTATCATACTCATCATAATATCCTGTATTTATATAGTTTTACTGTATATTTTTTACAGTTTTATTAGGTAGCCAACATGATAATTAACCCTATTTTACAGATGAAAAAACTAAAGCTTAGAGAATATCTGACTTACCCTCGGTCATAAAGTTAAAAGTAACATGGACCAGCATCCTTTTCTTCTGACTTCTAATTCAGTGCTGTTACAGAATTCCATGCTCTCAATGGTTAACATCTGATTAAATAAAGATCAATAACTAGTCTTCTGCTACATATTGCTAGAAAAAAATTGGGACATCTTATGTTTTAAATAGATCATATATTTTAAAACTTAACTGTCATTTTCTCCCCACTGTCCATTCCTGTGTATGGCATATAGGAGACCGAGATGAAGAGGACAGAATCTTTTTGAACTTGTTCCATCTTGTGCATGCTCAAGCTAACTTCCATAAGGAGGTCCTGTATTTGACCATCAATTCTATCTCTGCCTAAATACTCAGAAAGCCGTACATTTAGAGACTACCTCACTGAACTAACAATGAGAAGAATGCTACTTTCCACAATCAAAAAATAGCACCCAAAGAACTTTTTTCCACCCAAGTAATTCTAAAGTTGCACAGAATTTTAGTGGCAACTGCTTATATCATTATTAATATAAAAATTATAGGCAAACCCAAGAATATATTGAGATTTCTCCGGAAAACAAGCTGTGCCTCTCCAGAATTTATAAACCTCACACCAAAATTTAGTCTCCAAGAGTCTGGGGCCAGCCAGCCTGTATGTATGGGTCTTTGAAGCAAGAGAAAATTTTGTTTTATAGTTGAGCAGACCCAACTTTAGTATGTATCTGTTCACTGTGCTTAGATTGTATAGACCTAGCCTAGAATGTTTTGTGAAGGTTTGCAATATGATGTTTTGGAATGTGCAGATATAAATCACATTTTAAACCACCTTGTTGGCATATAGTTACAAAGAACATTATATTTTGTTCATGTTTTGTATGAACAGATCAAAAACCAAAGGAAGTATGTGTGTATATGTATATACATACCCATAAATATGTATATATGTACATATACACAAATATATATGTTTCTTTAAGACAAATCATACAAAAAGTCTATAAAGAGAGAGGGGTATATAGTGTTTTAATACAAATCATATTTTATTTCTGGGGATTAGAGTAAAATGTTGCAAATAAGGGAAAATATAAAATGAAAGAAAAGTACCTATTCTGATGCCAGCACAATATGCACAAATAATTTGCACTTCCTCCTAAAGCTTTTCTCCCTGTCTTGAAAAGTAGAACTTGAAGAAACTGGAAGCATGAATGTTAAAGCAGCGCAGGAGTGGGGTTTTTCTTCACTCAAGTAAATGAATTCTAAGAAGCTCCAGGACTATTTCAGTCTGACTAGCATCACTTTTACTATTAAAGTAGAAAACAATAGCGCCTAATGAGGCTGAAATAATGCTGGAACTCTCCTGGATTTTCCATTTTCTTCTCCTTGGGTTTGATCATTTTACTTCTGTTGAACACACGTTTCCCACTCGACTTTTCAGACACTGGCTTTCTTTTTCTAAGCCCTTGATTTAACTCACCTCTTGAGCTGATAAAGGGGAGAAATAACTAGACGATATAGAAATTACCTGCAGAAGTAGGATAGAAATTGTGGAAAATTCTCAAGTATTTGGCAAGTGGGGTTCAGTAAGAGATTTAATAAGATTGAGGAAGAGTGAAATTTGTGGAGAAAATGTAAATTTTGATAACAAGATTTTACTATATTTCAGTAGCATAAGCACTTAACCTTCTTTTACGGATGGTCAGAAACTAACTGCCTTTCTTTGATGGATTGTTGGACTGCAATTCCATCGGTTGCAGGAATTATTTCTCCAGAGTTTAGCATTTACATATTTATGCAAAAAAAAACAAGTCCTTGCTTTTATCCTAGTTTCATTTTCTCCCTCTAATTTCGTTTTCTTCCTTCCAGTTCACCACTAAATTATGAAGATTAAAAGTTGGCAGATACCAGAGTACAAAACATTTTAATTAGCTTTTTTGTTTCTCTCTCACTCTTTTTCTCTTACATGCTTTGGAAAACCTAACCCATTTATTTATCAAAATATTAGTAATTCCAAGTTGAGAATATACTCCATTAGATTATTTGGGGGGGGGGGCAGAGAAGAAAAATGAAGGAAAGAAAGTAAAAATTTTAATATAAATAGTGAATATTTTAAATAGTTTACTACATAGATGTTAAGTTTCATTCTCTTAGAGAAGCCATTTCGCATTGTGAAGTTTCCTTGTGTTCCTTGAATTACCTAAGTCTCTACAGCAGTTATTTTCAGAAGTTTACAAAAGAAGAATGGCTTAATTTAAAAGATTTTGACCTGGATTTTGAATCTCATCACACACTTGACATGACTGCTGCTGTAAAATTTGAAAAACACATTATTGTATTATTCTCGATAATTGTGAGATCATTGTCTCACTGTCCCCAGAAATTTGGGACATAAAAAATCTGATTCATTCTTTGGGTACAGTAGATAAATGATATCATCTTGCTACCAATAAAAAGTAAATAGAAAAATTCTTCATTCAATTATCAATAGATAAAAATAACTTTTGAGACAAAATTTGCAGTTTCCTCAATTCAGCAATCCAGTGGGTGTTTTTTTTTTATTGTGTTTTGTTTTTGTTTTTTACTTTTTGGGTCAACAGTAATTTTATTGTAACAGAAACCAGGCTGCAGTAAGTCTACACGAGTAAGGTAGATGGTGGTTATCTTTCCAAAGGGTGAATGAAGCCCGAGCCCAGCTGGACAGCAATCCAGTTTTTTGCTGAATATATTTGTCATTAGGAATAAAGTGTGATATCAAATTTTGAAGTGGGAGGCTAAATTGTGAAAGCATATATGTATGTATTATTATTAATATTGATGTTTAAGTGATGGTATATGCAATCATATTGCCACAAAAAAAGGTGCATGTGCAAAATGAATAGCCTAAAGATGTTAGGAGATTGTTCACTTCTAGCTGACTCTAGAACAGTCATAATAACATAACAATACTAGCAATTCAAATCATTCATTTATCCTATACTTTTTTCTGAATTAGAAGATTAGCCTGGGCTTCTAGCTCTTTTTTTCCTTTTGGTAGTGATTTCCTCAGAATTCTTTGACTTATTTGTAGGATGATTTTTACTTCCACTAGAAGGCAAGCCCAAAAAGTTCAATGACAGCATTACATTTAACTTTACTATTGTTTCTAAACACACACACACACACACACACACGACACCATAATAATACTAATAACAAACTAATGATGCCACATTTCTTAGACACTAATTTAAAGTTTATTTCTTGTGATAAATACTCTGTACCTTATGAAACCATAAAACACCTATTCTTTTAATATGTCTTTATTTTGTTTTGAGAGAGAGAGAGGAAGGGAGAGGGATAGAGAGATAGAAACATAGATGAGAGAGGAACATCATCAATCAGCTGCCTCCTGCATGCACCCCACTGGGGATCAAGCCCAGCAACCGAGGCAAGTGACCGGTGACCACCTGGTTCCTGGGTCGATGCTCAACCCCTGAGCCATACCAGGCTGGCTAAAACACCTATTCTTAACACTTTTTTGGAGAATTCCTTCTCATGCCCTTCTGACTCCTCAACTTTATTGTTTTCACAATCCCAGCAGTAAATTACTGTACCTGGGAAGCCTTTCAGGCATTTAAGAGTTCAAGGCTGCTCTCCATAGCATGAACAGTAGGCACCTATTTCACACCTTTCCCATCCTCTGATAACTTAGTTCATGCTTCCAGTTGTTTTGTTAATAACAAAGATTTTATTGCCATGATAATTATTCGCCTTTGGAAATTAGAGCAAGTGTGATGTGCCCAGCAGAAGGTACAAGTGGAGGAACCATCTTATGTCAGCAAAAAACAAACATGAATCTCTGTGTGGTTATTATCTGAGTTAACCTCTTTAAGTGAATAGCACTGAATTATATGATTACAAATATTTATGTCAATAAATATTGTGAAGGATTAAAACACAAAGCTGCTATAAAAGCCTCATATGTTATTGGATACCTTACTAGCAATGTAACTTCTTTACCAATTCCATTAGCAGGCAGCTGTGAACCCTGTAAGAAATCAGGCTGTGGACATAGGCTCCTTGGTTTATTGAAACATTACTAGAATAAGAAAGATGATCTCAAATATAGTTGTTTTGGACAGTCTTCTCTAGGTTAAAAAAAAGTGCCAAAGGAGTAAGAATACTTTTTTTTTTCATCAAGAAAGCAAATATAACTCCAGAAAACTCTTTAAGTAATTAGAGACTTTAAAAAAACAAACTTAGTTTAACCCTTGAAAGCCTTTTAAAAACAAAACAAAATAAATGCTTATAGGTATTCTAAGATCATTGCTTCAAGGTGCACAAACTAAAAAGTATGATTGTTATTTTTAAAGTATTGTGTTTATGGTAAAATGTCTTTGATACGTAAATATTTAATATTTGTTCATTTTTATTTAATTTATTTATTTATATTAATAAAATAAAAATAAAATTAGAAATATTTCTAAGTTGTCCAGAGTTTGTCATTATGCAAGTCATTGAATGTAGAAATTCCTTTAAATTATTTTTTGTGGAGGAACTTGTTTTTATTGAAGCTGTTAAAGCTCTACCATGATCAAAATATAAATGTCTTAACATAAAATAATGTTTAATTAGCTATATATTTATGTATATGTATATTTATGCTTAATATTATAGTATATAAATTAAATAATTTCATTTGCTAGCAACAATTCATAAATTGTATAATAATCTGTAACTACAACAGTACTCTATACTATTCTGTTATCTAATTCAGATACCAAATTCCTAACCAATTAATATTTCAGTTGCTGCTAAAATAGATATGCTACAATTATCAGAGTTTAATACTAATTTCAAAAAACAAAATATGTAATTAAGTATTGTGTATTATCTGTTATTTCCCATGACTACAAGATATTGCAGTGTTTTTCTAAGAACAAAAAGTTGTTAACTATTTCTAAATGTCTTCCTTAGTATGTTTGAGTTGATAATGGAAGTTGTGTCAATGACTTTTTCTGTTTCCCCCTTTACATATGACTTTGCTTTTATTTTTGTTTAAAATAGATGAGAGCAAAACTAACTTAGAAGAGGCCATTGTAACAAACATTTAGAGGTTGATAAAGGCAAAGTATGTAATTTACAAAGATAATTTTTCCTTTCAACTATTTTTTAGTATTCTATTAAGGGAAATTCCCATTATTTTTAAATAATTTAAATTAAAATGATACTCAAGGGATTTTGAAGTTTGAATAATGCTAATATTAAACCTCTTAAAAGCAAACATTTTCTGAAAGTTAATAAATTAATGTCATGCTAAGCTTCAAACTCTGAAAGTTTGGATTTGATTCCATATACCCAGAGCAATGAGTCTTAGGTGATTCTAGCTTAGTAACATTTATCTTTCCATTATTTGTTTCCCAAAATATATCCTCTTTCTCCTGAAATAAAATACATCCCTTTTCCATACAAACCCCTTATTTTTCATCAAGAAAGCAGGTATTAGTGTAATAATTCTTAGCATTATGCCACATTAATTTTTTTCTAAGTAATCTACAATTATTTAGAGATGTTTTTATTGCATTGGTGTGAGCCAAGTATAATCCCCATTTCATAGGACATGATTGCCCTATGACACAGATTTGTAAAATTTATCCAAAATCTTATATTACAGCTCTAGCTGGTTTGGCTCAGTGGATAGAGCATCAGCCTGTGGACCAAAGGGTCCCAGGTTTGATTCTGGTCAAGGGCATGTACTTTGGTTGCAGGCTTCTCCCCGGCCAGGGCCCTGGTAGGGCCTCAAGCAGGAGGCAACCAATCAGTGTGTTTCTCTCATATCAATATTTCTCTCTGTCTTTCCCTCTCTCTTCCACTCATTCTAAAAATTCAATGGAAGAATATCCTCGGATGAGGATCAAAACAAAACAAAACCTTATATTACAGAAGTAATGTTTTCCAGTGTTTTATATACGAAAAGTTTAAATATGAAATTTTTAAAAATTATCAAAATGATGAACACTATAAAACACTGTTATAAACTGGCATTATTATAGGATGAATATAAGCACAAAGTCATAAAATTTCTTCCAAAATGTAATTATTTCACAAGTAACTGAAAATATGGATAATCTTTCTGTCCTTATATTGTGCCCAGTGCCAGTGGTATATATCACTGGTGTATAACTGAAAATTGGCTGATTGTTTTCACTGAATTGATAAGTCACTTCAACTTTGTATGGATACAGACTGAAGATCCTTGACCTCATAAACTTCAGAGCGAGCTTGGTTAGAGACTATACCATGAAGATTAGACCACAATAATTAACTGTGTTACTTGGACCCCTCCAAAATACTGACACTCCCCTAATTACCTAGGTAAGGACATAGAGCTGCTATCTTGACTCGAAGAAGAAAAGCTATGCCAAAGAGTCAGAGGAATGTTTTACTGGGAAATGTCATGTCAAGGACTCCACAGATAACTAAAGATCATCCCTGAATGTATTAATGTTCAGAGCCAGGCTTTTGCATTGGTGTGTCTGTCAGATTACCTATTTTTGTTACATACCACCATGTAGTATGTAAACAGCTTAGGCAAAGTATCACTGATATATGTTTGGGGTAAAAAATAGTAATTTTTTCCCTCACAGTTTGCCAAAACAGTCTTGTAATTGAGTTTTCATCATAAAATGTCATTTGGAGAGAGCAATAAAGTGGACTATTGGTAACTATTAAGAGTTTTTTTCATGGAATTTCTGTTCTCAAAGATGTAGTTTTCAAAGATAATGCATCCTAGAATTGTAGAACTTTAAAGTGGATATTAACAATTTTCTAGTCCATTGCTTCCATTTGTAGGAATAAAATGAAACCCTGAAAGGTTCAATGACTTATTGAAAGTCACATAATTTGTTGCCAAGACAAAAAGCTTCTAGAACAGTGTTTTTTCTTGGCCAGAATTCTAAAATGCAAGTTTTTCATTTTAACTGACATTATAGTATACTGCCTCAATTTTATTTCTTTTTAAAACATGGAAATGGAACACAATGTTGTGGGTAAAAACTATTAAGTTCATCTTTCTTGTTTATTTTTAAGCTAAGAAATCAAATGTAAAACAATTATGATGGATTTTTCAAAGTCTTTTCTGGACCCCAAAATATATGGTTTCTTCAACCTTAATTGGACAGAAAATACGTTGAAAGGTTTTTTTCCAGAAAAGGAACATTTGACAACTTAAAAAAGCATTTACTTTGCAGTAAGAGAGAGATTTCTCCCAAATAACAAGCATAGCCATCTTGTTTCAATAATTTATGACTCAGCCAAGCACAAAGAATGAGAACTATAGAACCAACTGTTTCTCTCTTTAAATGGGAAGCTGGAGCGCAAGTGGTAGGGTAGGGAGTGGGGAAAGTAAATCTTAAAAGCTCAAATGACAAGTTCCTTCTGGCCAGAGACTAAGTCAAAGGAAACCGCACACCCCAGATTGTACAATCCATAGACAGTGATAAAGTGACTCGGTCACGAGAGACAATGTGGTCTTGGACTTAACAAAGGAACACCTTCGTGTGAGGGAAAGAAAAGACCCAAGGAAAGGCTATCCTATCAAAATGAATTTTGAGAAGTTCTCCATGAGCATTTTAGCAAGTCTACATTTCAGCTATCTGTGTCCTTTTCAGTTTATAGCTCAAAAGCACGCACACCTGCCAGCCATGCCATGAATTCCTACTGTCCCAGCCGAGGGCCTCAGACTCTGAACTCAAAAAGTCCCTTGCTTGACAGGGGTTAGCCATATCCGGAAGGCTCTGGAGGAGGTCTGTTGGGCGGCAGGACAGCTGCTGTTGATAAGAGGCCTCTTGTTGGGCTGGAGACCAGGAACTGTGGGAAACCCAGAAACAACAAGGTTCAGATGGGAATGGCAGCAAAGGTCTCAGTTCCTAGTACTTAGTCTTTGGGGACTCAGAAAAGAAATAGGAGTTCCTCTCTCCTTTCCCCCAAAACCCCACTCCTCAGTGAATTTCATTTCCTATCTCATCCTCAAGTGAGAATGAGTCACTCATTAATGCAATTGTGCAAGCATAATTGTAAACCACTCTGCTGGCATATAATGATGTGTTTTTAACCTTTAATTACCGGAAGAGAACGGATAACTTGGAGTTTGAGCAACTTGAAGAAAAAAACTACAAAATTATAGTCCCTCCCACCATGCACACCACTCCCAACTCATTCACCTAAAAATCCTTCACCGAGTGGGTTTCATTTTTTTTTAATCCTATTTTAAATGAGGTCGCAAAGAAAGAAGTCGGCATTTCTTACTCTTCTCAGAGTGGTCTGAGAAATGCTACATCAATGCATCCGAGGGGGAAAAATACAAAAACAAGATCTCTTTTAATTTTGTTTTTGAATCAATACCCGAAATAATGACCAGAAGCAAAAATCCAGCGGTGCGTCAGCAAGCAGGATGCTCGGCCAGTCAGCTTCATCCTTCTCCCCTGAGCTGTTCTCCTGTGGGCTCCGCAGCTGCAGGCACTAGAGCAGATAGATAATGTAGGAGAGAATGACCAGGCCTATGATGGCAAAGAACATCAGAATGAAAATATCCAGCATGATGGAGTCCTTGGCCGAGGAGGCCTCTGGATTGCAGGGAAATGTGAGCTGTGAGCACGGAGGTTGCAGTCAGTGGAGAGAAATGGCTCCCTCCTCCCTCCACTGCTCAGCCCTCGTTTTCCCCCTCCCCCTTCCAGGGCCGGAGACTAAGGGATGCTGCAATTCCATCAGCAGCTTACTTTACCCCACCCCTCCATACACCACAGCCAGCCAATCAGAAAGCCCGGGAGTGGGTAACCAAGGAACTGCTGGGTTGAGACCAAGCAGAACCTAAGAGGCTCGATTTCTCCCCAGGAACCCAATCCCACCCCTTTGTATCTAAGTGGAGTCTGCATGATATGGACGGAGGAGGAGATCTGATATCTAGCCAGATCCCTTAGGAATGAATCGTCCTGCCTTTCTTCTCCCCTTTCTCCTCACACGCCCCCAGCAAATTATCTCAGAAGAATAACGGTTGGGAGTTGGGTGGGCCATTCGCAAGGTGTAACGGTCCCCTTATGGAGGGACGTGGAAAAAGGTCTCATGTGAGTCTCAGCCGGCACCTCTGGGATGGGGCTAACACATGTGGGATCTCTAGACTATGCCAGATATTGCACAGATGGTGTAATTTCAACCTCCCTACAGGTCTTCTATAGATGAGGCTCAGAGATGGCCAGGAATTGCCCAGTGTTTCACTGGAAATGGCAGAGACCAGGATTCAAAACTCGGCTTGCACACGCCCGAGACCGGCCCACCTTCTCAGTCTGAACTGCCCCTCGGCTCGGGTTGTGAGGCACTTGCTCAGGTCACTCCATTTACAGGGTGAGCACCAGAGGCCTCTCCCCCTTCTCTCTGCCCGTCTCTCTGTGGTCATCGCCCACGTCCTTGTTCTCTTTTGTATCCTCTTCCGAGAGTCCCACATGCTGTTACCCCAGAGGGGCAGCAAAGAATCCTCAGGCCACCCCTGTGCCTAGAAATGCACGTTCAAGTGGCTTCTTCTGAGGGGAAAGGGAAAAAAATTGATGTTATATTTTTTTAAGCTGGGTAGTGGGTGCTCAGTTATGTATTGTGTTGCTCTTATGCCTTTTTATGTCTTATTTCCCATTAAATTAAAAAAAAAATTCCTGTGACATCTCTGAGGCCTAGTGTCCATGGCTCCACCCCCAAGTAATTCTTTGGGAGGGCCTGGGGGTGAGGTGTTAATAACCCCCCTCCTCATGCTAGGCCACTTCTAGAAGCAGGTCTAGAAACTCCTCCCGTTGGCCTGTGCCCAGGAGGCGGCACACTGGTCCCCTCCCAAGCAGAAAGATTGCCCCCTCTAATTGCTCAGGGTAAGCAGCCTCCTGGGGAGAGGGGGCTCCGCTCTCTGACAAGAGGGGCCAGGCCCACAGGAGGCAAGATCTGCCAACTCATTCCCTTCTAGTGGGAACACGCGAGGCGGCCGGCTCCTTCAGAGGAGAAGCAGGTGTCGGTATTATCTTTAATTATCCCACCCGCTGCCGCCTGACTGCCCACACTGCTCAGCCCTGCTGACCTGGCCTGTCCTTCCCTACTGTCACCATTCCCTTCATTAGGAAGCTCAGTTCAGGCTCAGTTCGCGAAGGCCCTTTTCCTCTCCACCCTGCTGTTACCCTGAAGCAAAGGAATGCCTTCACTCTGAGCCCCGAGTGGGAAATGCCCCCCCCCCCCCCAAACAGCTGGACAGGTTACTGGTGGCACTGAGCCAGGGCGGGAGGGGCTGGATTCCTTCTCTACCACTGCCCCCTCCTCAGCCCGACAGAGGAGAGGAGGCCTTTGGTCAGGCGTTAGACCCAGGGTTCCTGGAGCAAAGAACAGAGCACAGGAGATACTAAAATGAGACGTGCAAAGGGCTTGGGTAGACAGCCCACCCTAGCAAGGTAGCAGGAGACTGTGAGCATCGCATCGGGGGTCCTAAGACCTCCAGCCCAGCTATGACTTCCTCCAAACCACTGCCTTTCTGGGTTTCAGTGAACCCCATCTATAAGATGGCCACCATGGTAGTTCTTTCTCTCACACAGCTAATAAGATCAAATTTAAACATGTGTGTTAAAGATCACAGTTGTAAGGCATCATGAATAGTGCTTTGGGTTGTCAGACCACTGAACAGATGCCTTCATCCCTGGCTTATCCCACCGCAGACTGTCCCAGTCTGTCATTTCATTCCTCAAGTATGTGCCTACAAGGTGCAGGCAGAGCTAAAACGGCCCACCAGCTGAGCTCATTCACTAATTCAAAAATGTTTGTTTAGCCGCTCTGTGCCTGGCCTTTACCTGCCCTGTGAGCGCACTAGCTAGTGGGGAGACAGGTGCATAGTGAAGCTAGTCAGACGGTAGGAGACAGGTGCATAGTGAAGCTAGTCAGACAGTAGGAGAATATGGAAACTTGGAAGTTCCTGGGAGTGTCACCAAAGTGGGCAGACGGGTGGGGAGTTCTCGACAGGGAGTAGGTGCCAAGGCAAATTGCCACTCTAGGCTGACTGACCGCTTCCAAACTGGTCTCTCTCCCCGAAGAATGGCAGGGCTCCAGGAGGGGTTCAGGCCAACGCCCCCAAACAGAGGGACACACACACACACAGCAGCCGTCAGAGCCAGAGAGAAAACGAAGTCCGCAGGTAAAAATTATATTTTTATTTGAGTCACCAGAAAGATTCACTTGTGGTCCAAGTCGAACGTTCAGAATCATAACAGGCCAGAGGATTTGATCCCAAGCACAAGCCCACGAGGGAGGGGACCAAACAAACCAAGGAGAGACGACCACCCCGTATAAAAAGATGAATGACGGCTCCACACACACGGATGAAATGTTCGGACAGAGGAAATCTCACATGGTCATTTCTGTTTCTTTTTAAATACAGGTTTGTGAGGTGGTATTTTTTTTTCCAGCTATTAAAAAAAAAAAAGGCCCCAAAGTGCATACGTGAAGGGGAAAACAAATGCAGAAATTAAGCAATAAAGTAGTTTTCCCTGGAGGGACATGAGGAAGAAAACAGGAAGCAGTGTTGAGAGAATTCACTTTTCTCACCATTGGGCTTCTTGCAATTATTGGTCCACTAACGTCATATTCACATTCTAGCTTTGATGGATGTTCTTTCCTGGGATATTGGCTAAAAGACCTCTACGAACTGTAAGAGAAGACCGGGGCCTCCGCCCAGCCCTCAGGTCCTGTGCTCTTCTAGGGATGGATGGTTCTGGAAAGGAACAAGGACTCCCAGCAGCCCCTGGGTCCCTCAGCACCAGTGTGACAGCCCCTCCTCTCTGTGGGTTGTATAAAAAAAGGTCCCCTATTTTTAGGACGGGAGGAGCAGCCTGCCGGGCAGCAAGATTCCAGTGGCTGGCTCGCCTTGTTTTGGAAGGAAAATTAAGCGGAGTGAAAAGGCTATTTCTCGCTCCTCCAGGCCCCCTCCCACCTCTCACTCCCCTCCCAACCGCAGGTCCTCCAACAGGATGTGTCTCCGACCTTTGGTCCCAGAATCCATGTTGTGCTTTGAGATCAAGAGGAAATGGAATGGACCGGCGCCGCTCCCCAGGTTTCCAATATTGCTCCCTCACCCCCAAATCGCCCAGTAGGAGACCCTCCATCCACCCTCACCTGGCTGGGGCCGAGCCTCAGCCCCCCCCAGAAAGGTCCACTCCTGTCCCCCCCAGTCATTTCCTGAGCTCTCTGATCTGGGCTAAATATTCCCAACTGAACCCACAAGCAGAGAGGACGCGATCATGCCTTTAGCCACCTCCGCAGGGAACGAGGATGCAACGATGTTAACGCTGGGGCCTGAGTGGACTCCCAGAGATGAATAAAGCCAGGCAGGGGTTGTCACAGCCACCAGCGAGGGACAGAAGGGGTTGGAGATAGCACCATCTTTCCCTTCCGCATCCCGGGGCCTGTGCTTCCAGTTTTGTAGCCCTGGGACCCTCTCCTAACTCCTCAAGGGGGCTTTAGGTAAGTAAGGGGGAGGCCTGGGAGGCAGAGCCCCCAGAGTAAGGCACCCACAGTGTGGGTAACACAGGGTCCTCTGGCCCCTGGTCTGCAGCGCAGGGCAGAGATGGGGGAGAGAATATGCCTGGAGGCACGAAGCCTTCTTCCTACCCCACCCAGAAGGCTGTATCAGCCCCCACCCATCTCCAGTCCTTCCCTTACTTCCGCCCAGCACACCGCAGTGGAGGCAGGTGGGCTTCCTCCATTTGGGGGACAGAAGGAGGAATTTTCATTCCAAAGAAAGTATAAGGAACTTCTGTCCCCTAGGGCCTCTCTTGTCCCCTCACTGTGGGCTTTGAGGAAAATATCAGGGGGAAACAGTTCTGTGCATCCTCACTTAAGCCCAGAGACTCCTGCAGGCCACACCCTGCGCCTTCGCTCACACTCACACTCACGCTCACACTCACACTAGCTGACACTCCTGCAGACACACACGCTCCTTCCCCCACACGCTAGTCCTGGAGACGCAGAGGGTCCTGTGGCTTTGCAGTTCCTATGCACTTGGGGGGGGGGGGGAGGGAGAGGGGGGGGTTATCTACCCTGGAGGAGTAGGGAGGACTGGCCCACCCAGCCCAGATCTCAGGGCTTCCTGCCCCACCTGTCAGGGACCTGGGCTTCCAGCCAAGGAGGCGAGCCAGGGCTCCTGGGGGCTGGGGGTGGGAGTGCGGAGAGAACAGCCTGTGCCCTTCGCTCCTGCAGCTGTCCCGAAAGTAAGGAAGGCCAGACCGTGACCCAGCCGTGCTTCCTAGGGAGCTCCTGGCCCACACCGGGTCTCCGTGGGCAGGAGAGCAAAATCACAGTGTGAGGAGAACACGAGGGGGAGGATGAATGAACCCCAGGGCGGGCGCTTTACCCTCCTTCGTTGTCTCTGAGAAAAGAGAGGGTGGTGAGGGGACCCCCCGGAGGGTCAGCAGCCCCATCTTTGAGAAGCAAAGCCCCCTTACTGGTGCCGACACAGTGGCAGTCCCCGGCCTGTCCCCATCCAGGGGCCAGGGCGGTGGGGCTCCACCCCTGGGAATGCATGGAGCCCCTCCCCGGAGTCCTGGGGGTCTGGGGCTCACCCCAGCCCTGGAATGTCGGGTGTGTGAGGAGGGGGGCAGGAGGGTCTGAGGGGGCCGAGAAAGAGAGAAGGCGGAGGCCTGGGAGTCGATGGACCTCCCATTCCAGACCAGCCCAGGGGCCTCGGCCACCCCCAGAAGGCCCACACCTGTTCCGCCCAGAGAGAAAACCAAGAAGTCGGTCCAGGGGGAAACCTGCCCGAGGAAGGAGCCCAAGGAAGTGGCAGAACAAGGCTTCGGTTGGCAAAAGAAGCTGGAGGAGGTTGGGAAGAAACAAGCTGTCGCAAATTTAAACACACAGAGACACTGACGGGGGGACAGGTCACGCCCAGGACAGATGCGATGCCGTGGAATGCGCGGAAGGATGGGGCGGGGCGGGCCGGGGCCCGGAGGGCTCAGATGGCCTCCACGTAGTTGGCCGGCAGCATCCCCGTGTCACCAGTGCGCTCCACGGTCCCGTACATCCAGCCGTCGTCGATCTGCTGCACGTTGACGATGGTGTCCCCATCCTGGAAGGAGACCTCGTCCTCGTCCGCGGCGCTGTAGTCGTACACAGCGCGGTACCGCTTCTGCGGGGAGGCGGGGGCGCACAGTCAGCCCCGGGCCCTGCCTGCGGCCCAGCCTTCCTTCCTAACTGCCGGGGACCCAGGAGCAGAGCCTGGGTGAGCAGGGACCCGGGAGCCAGAGACAGGGAAGGGCTGGGACCTGCCTTGGGTTTCTCACTGTCACTTTCTGAGCGTGTCCAATCTATTTGGCATCTGCTAAAAGGCAGGCAGGCAGGCCCTGGCCGGTGTACCTCAGTTGGTTACAGCTCTGCCCTAAACACCGGAAGGTCACAGGTTCGATTCCCGGTCAAGGCACATACCCAGGTTGCAGGAGGCGGCCAATTTATGCTTCTTTCTCACAACAGTGTTTCTCTCTCCCTCTCCCTTCCTCTCTCTCTAAAATCAATAACAACATATCCTCAGGTGAGAATTAAAAAATAATAATAAATAAAATAAAGGCAGGCACAAGACAGGAACTGAGTTTACAACAGCCCTGCTCCACCACTCAAAACAGGAATGCAGGGCGGTCCCACGGACACGATGCCAGTTAGTGTTGCAAAATAGGCTATGCCCTGTACGCTATTATCTGCATTATCATGAGCGCCAGTCTTCTTTTTTCGAAGTTGTGATAAGTCTGGCTTCACTCCCAAGCTCCGGACAAAGACCTATTCTTGGGAGAAAAATCTCCAGGTGACACAAGAGATTTCCACCTTGCAACTTCAGCCAAATCCTCCTCCTTAAGCTCTAGGAAATGTCCAGTAAAAGCACGTGAAATCCAACTGTGGTCTTGGAGGTGGATAGGATTCTAACATACTCTGACCTTACTGCCCTTGTCATCTCTGGAGGTCAGCTCAGCCTTTGTGGCCCCCCAGGCCAGGCCCTGGGAACTGCACGGGGCCAGCAGTGGGGCCCCATTGCCAATTGGTCGCGGGCTAGGTGCCCCTGGGGGACCTCCCGTGTCCACTGCTCCACCCCCCTGCCAGGACCCTGCTCAGACCTCTTTCCGGTCTCTGGTCTGGTCTGCCCCCTCCAACTGTTCATCCATTGTCATTTCAGGGGAACTTTCCAAAATGCAAACTTGATCGTGTTACTCCCTGGCTTTAAATTCTTCAAAGGTCCCCATCCTTTTTAGCACCAAATTTCAAACTTTCCCCCCCAAGCAACAGAAACCTACTCCATTAGCCCCCACGTCTATGGGATGAGCATCCCAGCCCTCACAAGGTGACCTTGGTCTCTCATACTACCAATCTGCCTGTATCTTTTGGGCTGAGTAGCCACCATCTATATCCATGTTCTGCAACAGCCTCCTAACTCATCTCCCTGTTCCTACCCTAACAGGGGTTAGCGCAACCTTTGAAAAACACAGGTCAAACCCGTCACCCTGTATAACTCACCAGTCCCGAAGGCCTTCCAGTCCCAGGTCCCTGCATAATCTGACCTCATCTCCTACCCTCTTGCCCTCTCTAGTCCCCTTAGCCTTCCTGCTGGTCCTTGAACTTTCCTAGCACATTCCTGCCTCAGGGCCTTTGTACCACTCCCTCACCACTCGCTCCTTCACTTTATTGAGGACTTTGCTGCTCTCTCCCCTTACCCTGCTGTCTTTTTCTTCATGTGCCACTATCTGACCTTTCATTGCTTGTATCTCAGACTGGAGGTCTTTTTTTATTGATTTCAGAGAGGAAAGGA